CGTCGGTTCTTGTCTCCAGTCGTGACGCTCTTGTCGCTGCTATCGCTGACTTCGCCTCTATCCGCCACCTTGAATACGCCACCGCTCTGGTCTCTGACCGTGTCTGCCCTCTATCCCTTGGGGGTGCGCATGCCCTTGGCAGTGACGTCCTAGAGGATAGGCAGTACGAGCTTGCTTTCCTGTCTGAGGCTGCTCCCCATCTCTGTTCCATGCTGCTAGTCCATGAGGGTGACCCTGACGCCTTTGACATCCCGACCCCTCGCACTTACGCTGAGGCCACCTCGGGACCGTGGGCCTCTCAGTGGATAGCTGCCATGGAGCAGGAGATGTCATATTGGAGATCCACCGGCACCAACGTCGACGCAGTTCCCCCACCTGGGGTGAACGTGGTCGATGGCCGGTGGCTCTTCAAAGTGAAGCGCCCCCCTGGAGAGCCGCCTGTATTCAAGGCACGCTACGTGGCTAGAGGCTTCAGTCAGCGTGAGGGGGTGGACTTCTTTCAGACCTTCGCCCCGACCCCGAAGACGACTACTCTTCGGGCGCTGCTGCACGTAATCGCACAGCATGACTACGAGTTACACTCCCTCGACTTCTCCACAGCGTTTCTCCAGGGCAGTCTACACGAGCAGGTCTACCTGCGCCGTCTACACGGCTTCACCGGTACCATCCCTCCTAGGACGCAGTGGCTTCTCCGGCACCCGGTCTACGGCCTACGTCAGGCGCCCTGTGAGTGGCACGACATGCTGCGTGCTACGCTAGCTGACGTGCAGTTCTTTCCGTCCTCTGCAGACCCCTCGCTCTTCGTTCGTGCTGGCCAGACTCCGTTCTACATCCTTGTCTACGTAGACGACCTGGTCTTCGCTACTGCAGACAGAGACGCACTAGTCTCTGTGAAGGCCGAGCTGCTGAGGAGACACACCTGCGCTGACCTAGGAGAGCTGCGCCGCTACCTTGGTCTGCAGATCTCCAGGGACAGAGCAGCGTGCACCATCACTCTCTCACAGTCACACTTGGTGCGCCAAGTCCTTCAGAGGTTCGGTCTTCAACTCTCCTCCGCACAGCCCACACCTCAGCCAGTAGACCACAGGCTCTCTGCTCCAGTTCCAGAGGAGTCAATAAAGCCCATTGGTCCTTACGCAGAGCTGGTGGGTTGCCTCATGTACCTAATGACTTGCACTCGTCCAGATCTCGCATACCCTCTCAGCATCATGGCTCGCTTTGTGGCCACAGGCAGACACCGACCACAGCACTGGTCGCCCGCTAAGAGAGTTTTGCGTTATCTAGCAAGTACAACGGGCACGGGGTTAGTGCTGGGAGGACGTAGGCCAGTGGTCCTTACTGGGCACACAGACGCATCTTGGGCAGACGACGCTGAGACCCTCAGGTCCTCTCAGGGCTACTGCTTTAGCGTTGGTTCAGGTGCCATCTCATGGAGGTCCACTCGCTCCTCGTCTGTTGCCCAGTCTAGCTGTGAGTCTGAGATCTACGCCGGTGCCATGGCGGCACAGGAGCTCTGCTGGCTGGCCTTCTTGCTCACCGACTTAGGTGAGCGGCCTAGCTCTGCCCCGGTTCTGAACGCTGACAACAGGACCATGATCCTCCTTTGTCAAGAGCCTCGACTTGAGGGCAGAGCGAAGCACATCCAGCTGCGGTACTTCCTCCTGCGCGAGCTACAACAGCGTCGCCAGGCCTGCGTAGTACACTTGGCCTCTGGTGCCAACATAGCTGATATCTTTACTAAAGCGCTTGCGCCTAAGGATCATCAGCGGCACTGTTTGTAGCTTGGTCTAGTTCCTGTAGATTCTCACTTGCTAGGACCTTGATTGTGTACTCCTCTTTATATATACCTTTCAGACTGGCCTTGTGGCTTCTCTTCCAGTGGCCGGACTAGTAGTGCCGCCCTGTTTTGCTCCTGTCTTGTTTATACTCTTGCTGACTGGTTTTCGGACCCCTGTCTCAGAGTTTGGACTAGTAGTGCCACCCTAAGCTGCGTGTTTCTTGCTCAGCACTGTAATAATTTGACAGGTGTTGCAGGGGACTACAGTAAGTGTAGAATCTGCAAACACAGACACTTGGAAAACCTCAAGTGTTAGCCTAGGATCTTTACTGGAATGGTAGACTAGTAAGGCAGCGGAAGTCTTTGTAAGAATGAACCTGAGTATATAATTCAGTTGAAGTCAAGTTTAAAGTCTCAAAGTTGAAATCTCAAGGTTAACAATAGAAAGGCATAACAAGATTTTATAGCTCTAGGAAAGTACTTGTTCGCTAATGTACCTGTTCGTCACTATCGCACTATTTGCCCTAAATGATAATGAAGAGACGCAACTATTCGCGCGACTGAAACGACTGTCCTCATGACGAGTGCTATTTGCTGACGTCATCCTACGGACTTATATTCTACTGTAGGATTCGACACTATCTACCGATAATCGACTTACAGAAATGCTAAGTATGCATTATATCACAACACTCCCCTTCATTTCTGGAAGTTCGACAGTGTCACTTCTTGAAGATCCCGCAAAGCTTGTTACAGTACTGAAACTTCTGTCGTGTCAGCTTCTTCGTGAGGAAGTCGGCAGCCATTTCGTTGGTCGAACAATAGACCAATCGCATTCTCCCCTTCTCGACTTCATCCTTGACGAAAAAATAACGTAGTGAAATATGTTTCGTCCTGTTCACGAAGCCAGGTTGATGCGCGATGCGAATTGCACTCTGGTTGTCACACTGTAAAGTGATATGAGTACTTGTCGTCAACTTTGCTTCTTCCAAGAGCTCCTGCAGGTAAAGTCCTTCGCGTTTTGCTGTGCAGACAGCGATAAATTCAGCTTCAGCAGAGGAGAGAGCAATCCGCTCCTGCTTCATCGAATTCCAAGAAATAGGGCCGATAGGTTCAAGGCGGTAGATGAATCCAGCACGCGAGCGCCGATTAGTAGTATCAGCAGCGTGGTCGGCGCCGACGAAACGGTGTAGGTATAGAGTTTTACAGCCGACGACGTTGTAGACTAAGCCGACGTCAGGAGTCGAGACGAAATACTGAAGCGCGCGAAGAAGATCGAGTTGGTGTTCTTCTTCAGGACGGCGTAGGAACTGTGCGAGTTGACTAGCCGCGTACGCTAGATCTGGACGACAAGTAACAGCGGTGAAGAGTAGACAGCCTAACTGCTGTTGATCGGTCTGTAGGTCGGTTAGACTCAACGGTGTAGTATTCGGTTTGTAGTCTGTCGGTAGTGATCGGTACGGTGTAGTGACTGTAGAAGGAGTGAGGTTGAAGCGGGCAGCGAGCGTCGCTGCGTACTTCGAAGCGGTGAGGTGAATAGACGTCGGTGAGTAGGTAATATTTAAACCGAGAAACTGTGAGACTGTCTCGGAGACGGTAAGCTGTAGATTTTTCTGTAGTTTCAGTATGAAGGTATTGGCGAGCGAGTCGGTAGTACTGACGTAGAGAATATCGTCGACGTAGGCGACAAGTAAAATATAGTTGCTCCTGTCAGTTAAAAGATACATCCCCTGGTCATGCGGTAGTTGACGGAATCCAGCAGTGAGTAGCTGTGAATGTACTGTAGGTACTGCGCATAGCCGGGGTGCCTGTTTAATGCCGTATAGCGAATTTCGGAGACGGCATACGCTCGGTGGGTTAGTAGTATACGAATGTGGGTACTCTACCAGAATGAGTGTGTCGACGGGTGCGTAGAGAAATGCGTTTGCCACGTCGATTTGTCGAAGTCGTAGATTGCGGCAGGCGGCGACACAGAGTAAAATCCGAACGCTCGTATGTCGACCGACGGGAGCAAAAGTTAACTCGTAGTCGATGCCGTAAGTCTGCTCGAACCCGCGGATGACCCATCACGCCTTGAATTTCTCAAACGACCCATCTGCATTAGTCTTGACACGGAAGACCCACTTCCCGGCAAGTACCTTCCTCCCTTTTACTTCTGATGTCGGTACTAACTCCCATGTGCCGCGAGTCTTGAGAGCTGCTAGCTCTCTGTCCATGGCTTTGCGCCATTTTTCGCGGTAAGGACTCGTAAGAGCTTGTCGAACGGTTTTCGGTTAAGATATTTTACTGTCGTTGTACTGTACTGCGACTGCGAATCCAAGTATCTGTAAGCCAGTTTCTGTAAAACGCGGACGTTCTTCGTTTGCACCTGCGAAATTTTCTTCTGACCCTTCTCCCCCCCCCAATTTCGTTAGGTGTAACACGAACTGCTTCGTCGGAGACGGGTGGCATCGGCTGCTGTTGGCGATCGCGTTCGTAGCTGAGGTGGACTTCGGGAACGTCATCCGGGTCAACATCAGCGAGGGGAATAAATTACGGGATGCCTGTTGACGTGACAGGTTCGGGAATGTCAGTTGCGGTAGCTTCGGAAGCTTCAGAAACCGCCTCGTCCTGTACATCAGCTTCGGCTTCGTCAGTTGCAAATGCACGCGAGCCTTCGAACAGCCTGGCAGGGTTTGCAGCTGCTGCCTGGTGGGCACGAAAAACTGGCAAGGTGAGTCTTTCATAGAAGAGATGATCACGTGAAGGGACAATTTGGTTTGAACGAAGATCCAAAATCTTCCATGCATGATACTATTTTTCGATGCCGAGGTGTACCCCCCATTTTGCCCGTTCGGAAAATTTGCCGAGTGCTGCAGTTGGAGGACGAAACTGCACGACACACCCAAAAACTCGTAAAAGTTTTGTACTTCCCACTGTTCGTGTCCACTGCAGGTGAGGTGAAGAAAACTCGGGCAGTGATGTGGAAGACAGCAGGTTGTGTAACAGCACCGCGTGGTCCATCGCATACGGCCAAAAGCGAGGAGGAAGGGCTGCCTGCGTCAGCAGAGCACGCATCTTCTCCTGCAGAGTCCGATTCATCCTTTCTGCTACCCCCATCTGTTGGTGTGCATGTGGCAGTGACTGCTTCCGTTTGATGCCGAGTGTCTGGAGGTAGTCTGTGAAAGCGTTGCTCGTGTACTCCCCTGCGCCATCACTCTGGAATTCTTGCAGTTTTGCTCAAGACTCTCTTTCAGCGACGGCGAGCCATGCGACGAAGACTGAATGGGCGAGATGTCGAGCAGGAAGGTTTGCTGTCCAAACATATCGAGTAGATGCTTCGATGAAGGTAATCACGTACAGCTCTTCTTTAGGTCCTGCTTCAGGTAAGTTAAGAATATCGCTGTAGACCTTCTGCATCAGTTTGTAACGAGTGGAGCCAGGAAAATGACTCGAAAACGGGTCGTGGGTAAGATTGGTGACCGGACACGTGGTGCAGACCGTTGGGCGAGACTGCGGTTTCATCTCCGTGCCGTCAGGTAAGAGAAGACTGTTTTTATCAAGAACTGCTGCTCGGATTCAATGATTTAAAATCCCTTGCGATGGATGTCCTAACCGTTGGTGCCAAATTTCTTATGTGGCTTTGTGTCCTGATGATCGCAGATAAAAGTCGGCGTTAGTATAAAATGAAGAAATGATGAAAGGAGAAAGAGCTGGAGACATGTCAATCTCCCCTTCGACGAAACGGGTAAGGGGTAACTGAACATTTGAAGTGTCTGCTGTATTTGCGACTGCAATTTCTGATACTGCTTCTTTTGATGTTACAGTTTGATGGCAGATGGTCCTGCGACAGCTACTGGAAGACTCGGCTGCTCGGCGACTTCTTCTTTCACGGCTTCCTCGACGACTTCGGGTTCATCAGCTGCAAGTCCACTGATTTCTCCCCAAAGTGGAGCTGGAGTTCCTTGGAAGGCTGCACGGGTGTTATAGAAGGTTCGCCAAGCATTGGCGCCTTCATCGGCGGTATTAAACTCCCAAGTATCCAGTGCGGTAAGAACGGCAGCTACAGTTCTAGAAGCTGTTGGTACAGTAGTTGCCCGAAAAACAATATCCACGTGTATATAATATGTTTCTTCTGGGTGACCCCAGGGACCGAGACCAAGGACGCGTTCAGAATCACCAGAGGTGCCCTGTGCTGTGAACTGAAGAACTGATACTCCATGTTGAGTAGCAGCGCGACCGAGGTAAGTATTTGATAAACTGTGCCATAACTCCTGATCCATTGTATCACAATTCCCTTGTGTGCGAATCTTGTGTGCCAGGAGTTGAGCTGTGGAGAGAAGATTGAAACCAAGGCTGGCGACGATAGGAACATTGGTAACGTGTAAGGAATATCCCGTGTCGACTGATTCAAGTATTACACTCCCAATAGATCTTGCCATAATGGTTTGTCCGTTTGCAACTGTGACTGTTATCGGACGATGAAGAGGACACTGGTTGGTGATGACGCTTGTTTCAGCGGAGCACATGTGCCAACCGCAACAGCTGTCGAGATACCAAGTATTGGGTCCTGAAATGACTCGAGCAAGGTTAGCGTAAACTTGCGGTAAGGGAATGCCCTCTGCACTGGTGGTTTCTTCAAGTTGTGTCTCGAAATCTGTATCTGAAATATCAACTGTTGTAACACATCCAAAAACCCCTTTTCCTGATGTTGCAGATGCAAAGACCGGAGGACGATGCTGTGATGGCGGTGTACTCTGCGGCATCTGCTGCGTCTGGGACGTCGACTGCTGCATTTGCTGATGTGGCTTCGGTAACTGCTGCGAACGATGATATGGTTGCGAAGTGCTGCGACGGTTTTGACAACGACTGCGACAAGTTTGGTAAGTATGTCCTGGTTTCTTGCAGAAATGGCAGAAGGGATATTTCGGGGGAAGTCGTTGCTGTGGCTCTGGATTTGAGTAAAAACTTAATTGTAATCCTTTCTTCTGATTGCGTTGTGACTGCAGGTCAAGATCTTGCTGTTCCGCTTGAAGATACGACGAAATTTCGGTTTCTGAGAGGTTCGGATTCATGCGCAAGAAGGCGCGCGTCTGTCGCCACTCGGGACCAAGTCCAGCAAGAAGGACCATGAGATACATCTCACGAGGGAAGTATCCTCCACTCTTCTCCAGTTGATCTTGTAGTGTGCGAACACGATTGACGTAATCCATGACATTCTCGTTTGTCATCATCTGCACACTTGTCAGCTGCGAAAGAATCTTACTTGCTGTTATTGTGTCTTTTGCCATGTACACCCCCTTTAAGTGGTTCCATGCAGTTTCAGCTGGCGTGAAGCTTGAATGAAAAGATCGAACGCCAAGCTGCTCCTTTGGCGACAGGTTCCGAACTAGAACCGTATACGCCCCGAGAGAGGCGTGCAGGAAACTCTGTTGCTCCAGTTGTGTTCCCATGACAGGATACGTAAACTCGCCGGTGAAGAACGGCCATAGCCCAGCGAACTGCGCCAGAAGCTCAAACTCGAAGCTCCAGGAGTAAAATTCAACTCCGTTAAAAGGTATAGTAGTCTTGATCTGCGTGCTGGTAAGTAGATTTGGCGGTTGAAAAATAATCCCCTGTTGTTGAGGTTGTTGCTGTTGCTGGAATTGCTGTGGATGCTGCAGTTGTTGCTGTTGTTGCTGATGTTGCTGTTGCTGTTGTTGTTGCTGAGCAGGTGATCGCCCGAAGATGTAAAAGGGCTGCTGCTGCTGCGACTGCGGCTGCTGCGTAAACGGCGAGAAGGCAAATGAGCCAGTACTTGGAGCTGAAGCTCCACGCATGTAACTTGAGCCGTCAAGGCTCATTCCACTAAACGCTGACGATATTGACTGTGTTGAAAACTGCTGTGGTGTTGCTTGTTGCTGTGCTGTTGCCTGATGTTGTGCTGTTGCCTGTGTTTGTTGTTGTTGCGCTGTACGTGCAGTCGATGAAACACCTGGAGTACTGACAGAAGGCGGATTCTGCTGCTGCATACTGATGTGCGCATAAGCCAGTGGAAACGGTCCAGAGGCTGAGAGACCAGTGGCGGTCGTGGAGACAGGTACTCCAGTAGTTCCAGAACTGGATCCGGTAGATGGTGCTGGTGATGTCCCAGTCATTGTTGACAGTAGTCTTAAATCCAGATAGCTCTCATACCATGTAATAATTTGACAGGTGTTGCACGAGACTAAGTGTAGAATCTGCAAACACAAACACTTGGAAAACCTCAAGTGTTAGCCTAGGATCTTTACTGGAATGGTAGACAAGTAAGACAGTGGAAGTCTTTGTAAGAATGAACCTGAGTATATAATTCAGTTGAAGTCAAGTTTAAAGTCTCAAAGTTGAAATCTCAAGGTGAACAATAGAAAGGCATAACAAGGATTTTATAGCTCTAGGAAAGTACCTGTTCGCTAATGTACCTGTTCGCTAATGTACCTGTTCGTCACTATCGCGCTATGCGCCCTAAATGATAATGAAGAGACGCGACTATTCGCGTGACTGAAACGACTGTCCTCATGACGAGCGCTATTTGCTGACGTCATCCCACAGACTTATATTCTACAGTAGGATTCGACACTATCTACCGATAATCGACTTACAGAAATGCTAAGTATGCATTATATCACAACAAACACTACCCCTTATCTAGCCTAGGAGGTGTGTCAACTTATACATATATTTGTATGTAGAAGTTATAGGCTAGATAGGGGTGTATTCTTAGAGGGTACAACTCCAACCCTATATCTCCCTTGTTCACCCTTGTTTCTAGTCATTCTTGTATTCTAACAGTTTGACCTGTATTGAAATCTAGCCTGACGATTCAGTTTAATTAGAACGGGCGAAAGGAAGGATACTAATGTGCTGTGAATAATGCGGTTTTTTCCTATGCGCCAATTGCGTGTAATAAGCAGGTGCATTTGTTTAGGCGCAACATTGTTTTATGTAAACACGTGCTTATGCAGAGGTTCTTATACATATTTGTGATTGTATGGAAGTTCCGTTTATTAATACGACTTAGTCAAAATGTAATTTACATTATTCAAGATTGTTATACAATCACAATGTGGGCTTTAAACTGCGCAATAACGAGTACAGCGTACTGTAATCACAAACGAATCGTCAGCAGTACAGCTTGGATTCGCCAATCAATCCTCGAGGAGTGTCCGCGTTCATTCCCCGATGAAACTCCCAGTATGCCGAGGACTGCCCTTGAAGATATTTTTTGTCTTTCTAGGGGATATACTGACGCGTCACCCAAGTGTCAATTTTGTGACTTCCGGCCCGATTTGTTTTGTGACGGTCCTCATACGTGCCAAAGAAGGGCCGAATCTACAGAGGAAATTACTATGTCAATGTAGCATATGATCCATTGTGTGTATCTTTCCGTATTTCGCCATGAGAAGGGACGGAGTGGGCGAGCTCCCTAGGAGATGGCTTCTGTACAAGGCAATGCATTGGTGGGGTTGGAAAATGGGCGCGAGAGATCGAAAATGGGTGGTGGGAGAGTGAAAGGGGGCGACAGGGGAAGCAAAAGGGCGTGACGGGACAGAGGCGAAGGAAGAGGGGAAGGGTAAAGCGAAGTTGAATAATGGAAGAGTTTCATGATGGGTGTTTTATAGGCTAGTAGTGTGCGCCCACCAGGACATGGGTGTGGGACAGGACATGGGTGTGTGACAAGACATGGGTGTGTGACAGGACATGGGTGTGTGACAGGCCATGGGTGTGTGACCGGCCATGGGTGTGTGACAGGCCATGGGTGTGTGACAGGCCATGGGTGTGTGACAGGCCATGGGTGTGTGACAGGCCATGGGTGTGTGACAGGCCATGGGTGTGTGACAGGCCATGGGTGTGTGACAGGACATGGGTGTGTGACAGGCCATGGGTGTGTGACAGGACATGGGTGTGTGACCATGGGTGTGTGACAGACCATGGGTGTGTGACAGGACATGGGTGTGTGACATGCCATGGGTGTGTGACAGGCCATGGGTGTGTGATAGGACATGGGTGTGTGACAGGCCAAGGGTGTGTGACACGCCAAGGGTGTGTGACAGACAATGGGTGTGTGACAGGACATGGGTGTGTGACAGGACATGGGTGTGTGATAGGCCATGGGTGTGTGACAGGCCATGGGTGTGTGATAGGCCATGGGTGTGTGATAGGCCATGGGTGTGTGATAGGCCATGGGTGTGTGATAGGCCATGGGTGTGTGATAGGCCATGGGTGTGTGATAGGACATGGGTGTGTGACAAACCATGGGTGTGTGATATGCCATGGTGTGTGACAGGCCATGGGTGTGTGACAGGCCATGGGTGTGTGACAGGCCATGGGTGTGTGACAGGCCATGGATGTGTGACAGGACATGGGTGTGTGATAGGATATGGGTGTGTAACAGGCCATGGGTGTGTGACAGGCCATGGGTGTGTGACAGGACATGGGTGTGTGACAGGCCATGGGTGTGTAACAGGCCATGGGTGTGTGACAGGCCATGGGTGTGTGACAGACCATGGGTGTGTGACAGGACATGGGTGTGTGACAGGACATGGGTGTGTGATAAGACATGGGTGTGTGACAGGCCATGGGTGTGTGATAGGCCATGGGTGTGTGACAGGCCATGGGTGTGTGATAGGCCATGGGTGTGTGATAGGCCATGGGGTGTGTGATAGGCCATGGGTGTGTGATAGGCCATGGGTGTGTGATAGGCCATGGGTGTGTGATAGGACATGGGTGTGTGACAGGCCATGGGTGTGTGATAGGCCATGGGTGTGTGACAGGCCATGGGTGTGTGACAGGCCATGGGTGTGTGACAGGACATGGGTGTGTGACAGGCCATGGATGTGTGACAGGACATGGGTGTGTGATAGGATATGGGTGTGTAACAGGCCATGGGTGTGTGACAGGCCATGGGTGTGTGACAGGACATGGGTGTGTGACAGGCCATGTGTGTGTGAGAGGCCATGGATGTGTGACACCATGGGTGTGTGACAGGCCATGGGTGTGTGACAGGCCATGGGTATCTGATAGGACATGGGTGTGTGACAGGCAAATGTGGGTGACAGGCAAAGCGTGTGTGACAGGACATGGGTGTGTGACAGGACATGGGTGTGTGATAAGACATGGGTGTGTGACAGGCCATGGGTGTGTGAAAGGCCATGGGTTTGTGACAGGCCATGGGTGTGTGACGGGGCATGGGTGTGTGACAGGCCATGTGTGTGTGACAGGGCATGGATGTGTGACAGGACATGGGTGTGTGACAGGCCATGGGTGTGTGACAGGCCATGGGTGTGTTACAGGCCATGGGTGGCTGACAGGCCATGGGTGTGTGACAGGCCATGGACGTGTGACAGGCCATGGGTGTGTGACAGGACATGGGTGTGTGACAGGCCATGGGTGTGTGACAGGCATGGATGTGTGACTGGACATGGGTGTGTGACAGGCCATGGGTGTGTGACGGGCCATGGGTGTGTGACAGGACATGGGTGTGTGACAGGCCATGGGTGTGTGACAGGACATGGTCAACGCCTGAAACGCCTTGTCGGTTGCATACGCCGGAAACTTTGTCGCGGTAATCTGTCCGCCGAATGAGCACCGGACCTTCAGACGCAGAGCCGCTCTCGAAATCGTCGCTGCCAGCCGGGTACGGAGCATACCCATGCTTGGCGGGCCTAGCCCTAGGCCCTCCGTCCTCCCTCCTCTCCCTTGCTTCCTCATGTCGCCACGTCCTTGCTTCCCTCTGCTCGCCCCTTTCTTCCTCTTGCCATTACTCCCCCTCCCCTTATCCTTCCCACCGTTGTGCCGTCCGACGCGCCTGTCCCTGCCGCGCTTTTTGCCGCGCTTGCGGTCGCCGTCAGACTCGCTCTCGAGGGACTCAGGCTCGCTGCTTTCAGTGCTCCGACCGTCGTAGTTGGACTCTGACGCCGAGGACTCCCCGAGTCAGAGTCGCTGGAAGAGGACGGCGAGTCTGATTCCTCGGGAGAGTCTTCGCGCTTTTTCCGTTTCGTCTCGCGGACGCGGCCTCTTTCGCGGCGTTCAGGTGATGGGGCAATGGCGTCGCTCTTCGCTCGACGGGTGTCTCCATCGCGACGCTCCCATTCGCCGTCCTTGTCCTTGTTTGACGGTTTCTCTGGGCTGGTCGTCGCGGCCACGGTCGCGCGGCCTTCCACACGAGCGGGAGTCTTCAAGACGGGGGCCGCAGCAGCGGCCTGCGAGGGCCTCGCGATCCGACTCCGCCACATTGTTTGCGACAGTTTCACCGTTAGGGGAATCATCGTGCGACGGCGGCATGGCGCTAGCAGGGGACTCCACGACGACCATCGCCACTTCCTCAACCGCCTGAGGCGCGTCTGCTGCGGTCGTGGGTGGACAATCGGCGTTCATTGCGGCGCTCATCACGACGCGGTTCCGCGTCGGTGCGGCAGCTGCGGGAATGGGAGCGGCGCTCGCGTCCGCCTTCGCCGGAGGGGTGCCGGCCTCTGGGGCTGCGACCACTTTTGCTGCCTTTGTATCCTCCTCTGCTAGCGCTGCATCCTCCTCTGCTA